GAAAAAAATCATGATTTCCGCCCCTTTTTCTCAAAAAAATAAATTCAATCAAAAAAATCCTCAATTTACAACGTACAAAAAAATGTAAAGAAAAAAAAAGGTTTCATTCCTTCTTGAGTAACAATTCATGCCTTATACCCATACATATTTCTCCCAACAAATTTACCTTTATCAACACATTGATCTGGCATTTTTAACGTCATCTTCCAGATTATTCCATAATTTAATTCCCTGGACTGAGGAACTCCATTCCTTCAAACTGGTTCTAACTTTAGGCTGTAATGACTGTAGTCAGTAGTAGTGACTGTAATGTTTTCTGGTAATAGTTCTTAGAGCTCTTTTCTGTAAAATAAAAATAGGATTTGTTATTGTTTTACACGCTTTTCCCCAAACGTCAACACGATAAATTAAGTGTGGAACAATTATTGCATTATACAACATAAATAATGCTTTATCATTAAATAGTCCTTTACTTTGTATAATACTGCAATGGATTTGGCTGTTTTTGTTCTTAAATGATTTATGTGCGATCTCCATGTTAGTCCATCGTCAATGATGACACCCAGAAACTTCACCACATTGACTCTACAGATCTCGACACATCTTTATTTGCATCCTGAATAAATTTAAGACCTAACAGTCTTTTTCTTCATATTTCTTTATAATGCTTTACAAAATCCATGTTTGTAACTTCTCCATCTGCTTTAGGTCCACAGGTCAGACTGTAAAAAGGCAGACGCAGAACCTGCGTGTCGAGTACTACGTGACCCGCGATTTCCAGTCCGAGTTTAAATACTCAGCTCTGCAACAGATTGAGAAAAATGTCGAAGAGGATTATGTGACTAATGTTAGAAACAACTGCTGGAAAGAGAGGCAGACAAGTGAGTTAATATGGATAAGTGATGTTTTGTATGACACATTTGTTCATCAGCGCTCACATTGTTCCTCTGCTCGTTTTCTCCAGAAACAGACCTACTTTATGCTGCGAAGGTATACAGGGACGACCGAATGCGTAAGAAGGCAGAACTCATGACCATGGATAACTGCAAAGAGCTGGACAGACTAAATAACCTCTTCAGAGGCGGATAAATAAGAATAATTTTAGAATATGTAAATATGAATAGATGTCTATGTTCTTTTTTTGTAAAGAGAGAGATTTTACATTAGGAGAAAAGTCTTAAAAAGAAACTGGCCCTGTTTAGGTTTGAAAAAATCCTTCATATCTTCCTAACAAACTACTCTTCTTCCTCACTGAATCACCGTGTTGCATTGTAACGAACCAGTCCACTCGCTGTTGGATCGTTCCAGGGGTTCCTTCAGTTTTTTTTATGTTTCTTTTTTTGTGATTTTCTGGAAAATAAGGAGGACAAGAACACTTGATTGTAAAGACGGCTTTTCGCAGTTTGTGAGAACTAAAAGGGGACTTCTGCGCAAAACAATTCAACAAACAGAAGAGTTTGCTTGTTCGTGCAGAATCAGGAGGAATTCAGCAGGTTTATCTGGAGCCCGTCTTCCAGTCAAATCTGTCTCATGAAAGAACAAAAGGACGTTTTAGCTTCCTCCTCACCCTCCACTTGAAGATCATTCCTTCAGAAGAAACGTTCTCCTGCATAATGTGAAACTGGCTGGGACTAAACAGACAATGAAGCTTTTATTCATAAATGGTTGTACATTTTCATTTTTGAATGTTTAAAGTTAATGCACTTATTTAAGTAACTATAGATGAAAGAAGTTTCCTCTTCAGTGCTCGCCTAATCATTTAAATAAAGTAAAATTGGTACCATACACTGAAATCAGCTGTCTCTGAATTGGATTTTGCTCAAATTACAGCAAGTGAAAATGATTTGTGTTTTGATTTAATGACACGGATTTTGTGCTGCTATTGAAGTGAAGATATTTTTGAAGTTGAGCCATTTGGATGTTTCTTTTGGTGAAGGCTTCTTAGATGAGCTGTTTGAATGAGTGAATGAATGAAGGGATTATTATTATTAAGCACCACTTCAGTCAAACAGATCTTTTAGGACACATTGTTTTAAGAGGACCAAGCTTATTCACAAAGTATTGTACACCAGTTTAAATTACCTTTGGTTTCAGGGAGTTAAAGTGCTTGAAACTAATTACATTTTTCAAATCAGTTTTATTTTGGAGGCATTTATTTTCAAGTAAAAATTTACAATGCTGCAGGGACAAATAAAAAACCTTACCTGCTTCAAAATCTCATTTATATAGCATATAGAACAACTTTGGTCTTTGGTCAAACTGCTAAATGTGAAAGCAACGAATTACAATAGTCTGTATTTAAAACAATAATAATAGTAAATAATAATAATAATAATAATAATAATAAATAGTAATAAACAGGACCTAAATCTCCACTGAATTTTACAAAAGAAGATTAGGGCCACAGAAAAAAATAATCCCCTAAATTCTGAGTTTAAATTCAAAATTTAGAGGACTACTTTTTCTCGCAATATGACCCTAATCCTCTTCCGTAGAATATGCACAAATCAATATATATGTGGGATTGTCTGAAACGTGTGACCTCCCGATGAATTCTGGGTAATGTAGTCTTTAGAGTGGCACCCATGTGGCATCACATTTAATGTTTTTAAAATTAAAATGATTGTTTTGAACTTTTGGACGCTTTATACAATAATTTATTACATTTTGCAGACATGTTCAGAGTCGATTGCAAAGCATGACATCATTCTTTTGGGAGTCACGTGACAGCGTCCAACCCGGAAGCAGTGTTGCAGAGAAACTTCACCGATGTTGTTTTGGAAATGAGATGATTAAGGAGTGAAGCGTTGAGATGCCAACAAGACCCAGAATTAAGGAATAGCTCGGTCAACGTAAGACGATGTGTAGGACAACTGTACTCTCCGGCAGCTGCGGTTGTTTTTATCTGTTTTGTTTGCTTTGTTGTGGATTCCTCCCAAATGTTTGTGCTTGTAAACACGAGCCAGAGACCCCAGACTGGAGGATGACTCTGAAAACTATCCGGAACGGAATCCATAAAATCGATACTTACCTGAATGCAGCACTGGACCTGTTCGGTGGCGATGACGGATTGTGTCATTATAAATGCAGTGATGGTGAGTTTGTAAATAGAGTAATATTCAAACATTTGTTTGTCATAGCAGTAGGCAGCAACAAAAAGAGCACAAATCACAAATTGGTAAAATACTGAAATGCTACAAATTGACACAATAAGTCTCATTCAGTTATCTCCAGAGAAAGTGGTATCCTAACACCTGCTCTTGCTTTGCAGGATACAAGCCAGTGCCTCGTCCTGGGTACAAAAACCCTCCACCCAATGGATGTGGCTCTCCGCTCTTTGGGTTTCAGGTAATCTGGTACAGTTTTAGAAACGTTTGTGTGAGAACCTAAATACTTTCTAAAGAGGTGGAGTAATGTCGGGCTATCACCTGGCTGCCAAGTGGCTCAACAAGAACAAGCAAAACAAGTTACTGGAAATGCTTTTCCAGTTGGTCACTAATGTTGCAGCCTTACATGGAACCAACACATCTAAACCCTTATCCTTAGACGTAGAGGTTTGATCAGTTTGCTGGTTTATGCCAGATATAAATAAATATAATGTGTATTAATATTTTTGTAATGTCTGCTGTAGTGGTTGTGCTTGCAAAGGTTAGTGTTTTCTGAGATAATATTTATTACTTGTTCGACGATGAGATGTTTTTTTCCCAAACCACCAAACTGTAACAGTGTTGTTACTGTACCTCTAGTTTGATATAGGTATCCCATCAATGACCAAGTGCTGTAACCAGCATGACCGCTGCTACGACACCTGCGGCCGTGAGAAGCATGAGTGTGACGAGCAGTTCCAGGAATGCCTCGAGACCATCTGCAGAAATGTACAGAAGACTCTGGGATTGCACCAGTCTGTCCAAGGTTCGAAACAGATTCACGCTATTCAGACGGACGTTGTCTTTAAAGCTGTGACATCAAAATTAGTATTTATAAATGCTTTTTATAAATACTATAATACTATATTTAGAATTATTAAAGCAGAAATCCCTAACAGCCCGTTAAGTAACAAATAGACCATTCTCATCTTCAGGTAACATGAAACTCCTTATACCTTCAAGGAATACTCTCAGGACAATAGCTGTAATACCTATTTTGTCCAGTAGGTGGAACCCTACCACATGTTATCTGTGTAACTCAAACAAGAGTCAACCTGTTTTAGTAAAACCTTTTTATATTTATTTCATTGTTAAGATGCACTAATAATGTGTTGGAGGTTTAATCACACCTGTCTAATTGAGATTAAACTGTCTCAGCATTCACAAAGTGTACACCAAGACTTGTATGCAAACAGGTCTACTCTGATCTGTTATGTGTTACAGTACACGCAGAATTATTATGATTTAACCAAAGTTAAAGTTTCACCTTTTTCATGTTTGCTCATGTACTTCTCTGTCTTCCTGTCTGAACAGCGTGCGAGTCAGCGGTGACGCTGCTGTTTGACGCCGTCATGCATCTAGGGTGTAAGCCGTACCTGGACAGTCAGCGGGAGTCGTGCGTGTGCCAGTACGAAATGAAGAGAGAGCTGTGACGCCGCGCAGCAGAAACACAGACTGTGCAGCGAACACATACAGAAACTGCTGCAGCATCAGAAAGGCTGCAAATAACATTTGTTTTTAACACTACTAGGTTTACTCAGGGATGGAGCTACATTTGCTGGACTCTTAACTGTGCTCATAAAAAGCCTTTCATCAGAGTTTTAAAATCTATCTGTAAAAGTGAAATGAGTCTGTTGGACAGCTATAATATGTTCTGTTAACTGATTATTTATGCAGTGAATACTTTTTAATGTGAATGTCTTTTCTTGAACTAAAAACTCGTGCTTTAGGACCCAATATAGACAGGTTTTTAAATGATGTTTTATGGTTTTCAAAATGTATTTATTTAAAAGGAAAGTGCTCCTTAAATAATAATTAAAGAGTATAAATGCACAAGATTTGGCACAACAGCTAAGTTTTATCTATTGTGCAAATAAGCAGGTAAAAATGTTTTTTAAGGTCATATTTTGCACCAAAAGGGGAAACGCTAATATTGCCTAAATGTGTATGGGGGTGTGTGCTCATTTCTCCACACTACTGAATGGATTTTGATTCAAACTAAGTAAACATTAAATTAACATTAAAACTGCTAAAGGTTTATAGTCAGAACCATTCAGAATGGCTGCCATAGGTAATCAGCCTTAGGTAGCACTAAAGTGACTCGAACTTGGTCAAGTTTACCAATACTGAGATAAAACTGGATGTGTTGGTTGCAAATAACTCACGATTTTTTTATATGTTTTTAAATTGAACGTGGATCTGTTTTGTTAAGATTAATCATTATGCAGGTAAATGAATTTATGAATACAGAAATGTCCAAAATGTCAGTCTGAGCCACCAATCTAATAGATTATAGGAGGTCTGCAGCTCAACAAAATAATGTTTACTGTTTATTGTACTTTTGTGCTTCTGTTCCGTTTAAACATATTTGTTGTAAAAGTAACTTCTTCAAAATTAAAAATAAATAATTATGTTGTTGGTAGTAGTAGCTGCTTTTCTAATAAGAATCAATTTATTAGGATCCACAAGCACCCTTTTCTTCTTACAAATTAATTTTACTGACAAAAGATGCACCTTGTGTTGATTCAGCACCTGGTAAATTATGTGAATTATTTTAGGGGATTACTAATGAAAATGTTTTGCTTGTGTCGTTGTTGTGAAAAATGTCCCATTAAAAAAAAATCAAATTAATATTGTGCATAATGTATTAATTTCTACTTTAAATATTTTTGACTAGGAGAGGAAACTAGTTAGCATTTAAAGCTTGAAGAAATGAAACGTTTTACATCAGCTGTAAAGTTCAAGTTCAGGCTGCTTTGCAGAGCCAAAGTTCCGGTTTGATTTTACAGAGCTCACTTCCGGGTTTTCATAGTTATTCATTATTATTTAACAATTTTTCATTATATTAAGGGAACCAAAACTAAAGTGATTCTGTCTAATTATGACTTAGAATGGAAAAAATGAAGAAAAACACTTTATAAGACATCCGCTTCCGTTCAAAGATTTTGCTCTTTGAAGGACAATAATGAAACCCAATCATTTCGCTTTTGTTTTGTCATTTTAACCAATCAAATTTTGAGGGCGGGGCCACAGTGACTATTTGGAATCGTCTCATTGGATTTCAATGTTTTCCGTGAAAATGTCGAACAAGGCGGAGGGCAGTGGTGGAGGTAACTTTTTTACATATATTTGGGATTTAAAACACTGTTAAAACCCGGAATTTATTGTAGTATTTGATTTCAGAAAAAAACAGTACAACGTAGCTTTAGTTTTTGGAAGTTAATTAGCTTGCACATCTGTAAAACATTATGTCCTCACATTTTCGTTGTTCCAGTTATGCAAAAGTACAGGTTTTTTTTAATTTATTTTATTATTTTCTATAGTTTAACCGAATTTACTCATGAAACGTGTTTTAAACAAATTGCTGTGTTTTCTCCCCACCAAACCAGGAAGTGTGGCTCATGACAGCAGACCAGCCACCGACTCTACAGGTAAGAAAACTTTAAACACTTTGTGCTTTCTGCTAAACAAAAGTGAAACGAATAAGTTAAAACAGAGTGTTCATCAAAATATAATCAGTCTGTTACTGAGTACCATATAGACGAGATAAAATCCCACTCTGTTATTGATTTATGTATTTATTTTGTCATAATGTCTAGTTTGAAAAGAAAGCAGAACATGTTGGCACACCTCTTGGTAATAAAACTGTAAAAACATACCTTTTTTATAGAGGTGTTTTTTAATCTTGATTTGCAAAATTCAGATTTCTCATGAATCATGAATGAGTGTCAGTGTACCATGATACACAGGACAATCAGTTCACTTTTCAATGAAAAAGATGTTTATCCGCTGACATGAAGAAGAAAGAGGAAAAACTGGAAAAACCACAATGGCAGGAAAATGCTGGGGGCAGTTCAGTAAGGAAGAAGGAAAAGTGTTAAAACTTGTGCTTAAAGTGCTTTTGACAACAGTTTTACTGTCAGTCAATGTAAAGTTTGATGCATTTGTAACTGTTTTATGCTCTGCACAGGGGACCTGACCGAAACAGATGCTTTTGTCAAAAGGTAAATGTTTTTTTTATTATTATATTTTTTTCCCCCAATCAGCTTCATCTTCCTGACATCTAGAACATAAAAACACTTTATTTATATTTGGCAAAATGAGTTGCATTGAGGTACCTTTCAATATTATTGGTTATTATTATTTTATTTTTGATATTCGTCTGAAAATTTTCAAAACGATTTGTAGAAATTTGAACAATCATCACTTGGTCCGGCATCAAGTTAATTTTGTTTACAAGAATGCCAGTTTGAAAACTGATTTTTATTGGTCCAGTAATTTCATTAGTAATTCCAGCCCAGTATTTAATAAGGAGAAGTCCCAAACTTCACAATGACACCAAATATTACATGAAGAGATTTCATATTCTGACAGCCAGCAGAGAAAAAAACAATAAAAAAAGTTGAAACAATTTGAATGAAATAGATTATTTATGAAAACAGACCTTTTAGAAAAGTATATTTATATGATTATGTTCTTTTAGTTACTTGGATTGTTAGACGGTGTCTTAAAGTCAATCTCAATTACGAGAAAAAACAATTTTTGTTCACTTGTTTTGCCTGTGCGCATCCCGACTTATTTTTCCACTCACGTATTCCTCGTCATTTCAAACCAGCTCTTTCGATGTGGATCCCACAGAGGAGTACAAGATGGGCCGCAAACGTCGAGGCCTTGCCCTCATTTTTAACCAGGAGCGCTTCTTCTGGCGCCTGGGATTAGGCGACAGACACGGAACCAATGCCGACAGCTACAACTTGGAGAGAAGGTAAAGCCTCGCACTGTTTTGAGAGGATCTGCTGTACGTTACTTCTTTATGTCTTATTTCACTACTACTAGTTTAACTCTTTCATTAGACTGCTGGAGCTGAACTTTGAAATCAGAAGTTTTGACAACTACAAAATGGTGGAGATTCTGGATAAAATCTATGAAGGTACCCTCATTAGTTTGAAAAAAAAAGTTACATTCCTTTTTTTGTTCCCTTGCGTATGCAAAAATAACTGTCAAATTCAAAACATGCTTTTGCTTGTGCATTAAAGCTTTTACAATATGCTCTTGCAGCTGCCCAAGAAGACCATTCAGATTCTGACTGCTTTCTGCTCGCCTTCCTGAGCCACGGAGAGGATGATCACGTTTTCGCCTACGATGGCAAGATCAGCCTCCAGGACATAACGTCCTTGTTCAAAGGGGATAAGTGTAGGACCCTTGTTGGAAAACCAAAGATTTTTATTATCCAGGTAACATGCTGTCTAATTTGCTTTCTTACAAACTACAAATAAAAAAAAAACCCTCATTCGAACTGAACATGTCTGTAGGCATGCCGTGGGGATAAACACGACGTGCCGGTGACTCCACACGATACTGTGGACAATGACCTACGGACAAATGAAGTGGTGGTGGACGCCAGCGCCGTCCACACCTTGCCCGCTGGTGCTGATTTCATCATGTGCTACTCTGTGGCTGAGGGTAAGTTGTTTAGGTCAGAAATCAAAATCACGAATCAAACCAACATTTAGCTTTGTGTCGTTAAAACAGCATCATTTCGTTTGTTTCGAATACTTGGAGAACGTTTTGGTTCTTCTGTCTTTGTGATCGCAGACACTCTTTGATGCTGAAATCTGAACTCGGTGTAGGATATACCATCACTTTACGGACTCCGTCCTTCTTTTTCATTGAAAATATATCTGTTTTTAATGCCACTGGTGGTGTTTGTCCTGCTGCATTATAAAAGTAAAAGCAGTCAGACACCCGATGCGATCAAACACCTTCCCTCACTGCTGACATTACATGATGGATAAGTATCCCTTTGTGTTTCTCAGCATCATTAGTCTCGACCAAACTCCCAACTTCATTTGCTGAAATGTAGCCCCAAACCTGCAAGGACCCTCCCAACAGGCTTCAGATTTCCCTTCATATATTCAACAATATCTAACCGTACAGCCAAATATTTCAAAGTTTGACCATTTTGGGTCTACACCTCTCTTGCTTTTTGCCTGTAGCCTACTTCTTATGTTTTTGGAAGCACTTAAGTCACTAGTTTCTGTCTAAGATTGGGATTTTGGGTTACAATTCCCTCTTAATAGCCACTTTCAGTGTTGTTTTCGATGACGATGACGAAATATTTTCGTTGACGCCCCCTTTTTTCATGACGATAATGAGACGGTAACGAAATAAACATAGCTCTTTGATGACTAAGACGTGACGAAACGTGTGTTTTTGTTGACGAGACGAGACTGGACGAAAATGTTAGTCGGTGGTCTGTCAATCATTTAGAATGCAGAGTGGAGGGAGGGACAGCAGCGCTGTCACGTGCGCACACACGGCAGCACAGAACATTTCCTCCTGTTCTCTCACAGCCTGCGCCGCTTCGCAAAAAAAAAGTCTGTCCGTCACCTGTAGCTTAACCAGGGAGTAACGTCTCCACCATTAAAAGCTGGCGCAGGTCCATTCTGAGCTCAGCTGTTTATGTTCATGACAAAAGTAAAACTCTTTTATTAATTATTTTTTTGCAGGGGGAGTTAGCAACTGCGCATGTCAATGCTTCTGTTCTGAATAAAAGCCTGGTGCATGTAAACACTCGTTTGCACAAGTTTAATAGTCTCCTAACTAAGTTTAGGACTGCATGATGTCAGTTTTTATAAATAAGATGCATCTTCATCGTCCTGGCTGACAAGTTTGAGTTGAACACACTGTAAAAAATGAAATGTTGGATTTACTTAACCATGCTATGTGACCTGGTTCCACTTAACTGAGTTGAGTAAATTCAAAGCAATATACCAGTTTTTTAGCCAAAGAACATGAGTATATTGCTTTGAATTTACTCAACTCAGTTAAGTGGAACCAGGTAACATAACATGGTTAAGTAAATCCAACATTTCATTTTTAGAGTGCATGTGTGTTCCCCTTTATTGCTTATAATATTGGATATGTGTATTGTGTATGTTGGACATTTTTAGAGTAACACAAATTCACACATGTTAACACAAATTAATTTGTAAAGACTAATATGTTGTCTTTTTTTTAAACTAAAAACTAAATATTTTTTTAACGTTTTTGTCGACTAAAACTGGACTAAAATCATTAAATATAGAAATAACTAAAACTAAGAAGTATTTTTGTTCAAAAGACTAAGACTAAAATTAAAATGGCAGTCAAAAACAACACTGGCCACTTCTAACCCTAACTTCCTGGACAGTAGGTGGGTGTAGCTTAGTCTTAACTTTCAGTTCTGAGCTGATGGCACTGTGGTCACCTGATTTCAAAAAAGGAAGTAAGCAGAATATGAATTGCAATAATATTTCTTAGTTGACCATCTTTTTATTTTTTTTAAACTTCAGCAGCCAGTGTTGAAACTCTAATCTGGTTTGAACCCTTTGCCTCCGAGATCGAGGTTTACCTGTAACAACTGTTGCTGTGTTGAATGCAAAGGATAGTCACAACAAATATTTTTTTAATTCTAGTTCTTTACATCTTAACCCTCTGTAATGATCCGCTTTACTCTTCATCTAATTATTATTATTTTTCCCCCCCCACAAGGTTACTACTCCCACAGGGAGACTGTAAATGGCACCTGGTACATCCAGGACCTGTGTGAGTTGCTTAAGAAGTACGGGACTACCCTAGAATTCACAGAGTTGCTCACGCTGGTCAACAGAAAAGTGTCCATGAGGAAAGTTGGGAACAGCAACGACCGCAGCGCAATCGGGAAGAAGCAGGTGCCGTGCTTTGCTTCCATGCTCACTAAGAAACTCTATTTCAGACCAAAGAAGTAACACTGTAGGACCGCAGTAGTTCACTTTGTTTTATTTCTATCTTTTAAAAGAGGAATCTAATACTGTTTGGGTAAAGGGAAATGACTGTTTTTTTTCCTGTTCATGCATATGCAGTGAATGATCTTTTCATTAATTTTAAGAATTCAAGTGAAATGATTCCAAAATACAGCTTGTATTATCATTAGCTTCGACTGCATCATAGCGGATGCATTGTTTTTTAGTTTTTTCGTCAATCAAAATGTTTTAAATATTCAAAAAAAAAGTTTTGCAACGGATTTATCATGTTCACATTACATCTCTCTTTTGTTTACGACTGTATCGTCGCAAATGATGCTCATTAGTTAAAAAAAATGTTGAAAGAGCCAAGACAGCACACTGGTTTTACACACAGAAGCTGACACTTTCAGGGATTTGTTTTTCTCTTTTTGTCTAGAAAAAGTAGTTTTTGTCTGAGCTAGATGATTTTCTCTCATATTGTGTTAGCCATGGAAAACTTGGAGGTTTTTGTTTTTCTTTCCAAGCACTTCAGACACATGCTGTGCCTTCAAACTCACCTCTTCTAAAAAGGGAAATGTTTGTGCTTGTGGTATGTTTAATGATGCACGTTTGCACGTAAAGTAAGAAACTCTTCAGAAAGGAGAGTGATAAATGTGACCCATCATATCAAAATGAGGATTAATCAAATTTGGTCAAAATGACCTAATTGCGTTTTCAGATCCCTGGCTTTAAAAGCTACATTTTGATACCTGGATCATTTTGATATCAGAAGCTTATCCATGGCTATGGCTTAATTTGTCTTATTGGTTACTATAATAAATTACTGTTCGGTCTGAATCCTAATTTTATGTAAATGTATTGAGTTTTTGATGTCAATACAAAACGAGGAAACCTAAAATAGTATTTGTATGTTAAGATTTCCCAGTTGGAAAGAAATAAAAATATTGCGAGCTCACAGGGAAAAATTCAAAATTTGAAAGCGTTTTTCCTCCAAAAGGTTTTTGTTGCTACTGCTCAAATAAAATGCTTCAAAACAGTTTTAAAGATTATATTTCAGACAGTTCATTCAAATGATACATTGACAAGGCATTAATTCATTATATTTTGACGAAATGCAATTTTTGCACATGTTTAAATCAAAACCCTTTATCTACTTATTTCTCCAGATTCCACTTTTGGATTTAATCCTCGTTTCGATGTGATAGGTCACACATTTTTTAGTTGTACTGTGAACCTAAATGGCTTCACATGATCTCTTAAGTATTCCTACCAGTCACCACCGATGCTGTATTTTTGTCAGATTATAAGATTTCTGCACAATTGTAGCTTTTTAACTGCTAGTCTGATTTAGGTTTTTAAATAAATAAATTTTCTAATGGGAAATAAAGACTGAGTCTTCTTTGTGTTTTGAAATTGTTACTGTAGTTAGTTTAATTTAGCTTTTGCCTGCTACTAATGAATACAATCAAAACATGAATATTTTATAAAAAAAGTTATTGAACAGACGGAGACAAATTCAGGAAATGCAAAGTTTATCAGTGTCTGTATTATTGAAGGATACAATATGGCATTATCAAGAATGTAATGACCCAAGAAAATATGGATACCAAGGTAAAAAGGTGGCCTTATCAAAATAAAACAGATATTTTTGCAGCGATTTTAGTTAAAGTGAGTTATGTTCTTAGTTTGGCATCGTCTATGGCTTTGGTTGAATTTGTTCCATTGGTAGCTGAAGATGATTTGGATTCCTTAGACGTCTCAAATCCTCCTCCACCTGAACAGACAAAGAACAATCCCAATTGTCCAATTGGATTTTTTAGAAAGCAGTGGATCATTTATAACAAGTCACTTCAAGTAGAACAAATCAACCAACCTGTGTCAGTTCATCCTTCAGTTTATTGTATTCTTCCACATTGAAACTCTTCTTTCTGGCCGCTTTATAAAAGTAACGCAGAAACTGTCTGTCTTGGGCATCTGGGTACACGTAATCCTGTGGGAACGAGAAGTATTACAGGGGGAAAGGTGCGCAGCCGTTTCTGTTCAAAATCAGACATTTTGAGAAATGTTCAACATAAAACTTAGAAGAATCCCATCTTTTACTAGAAAAAGTACTGAATGTGTCTCTATTTAAGGGCTAAAAGCCTAACACTTGAACGTACAGAAGTCTAACGTTAAAACCTGTAATAACCAGTTTTCATTCAAGCCAGTTCTTGTGTTTAATTCTGAAACATTCCAAGTTTACGAGCCAAACTACTAGTTATGTAAAAGAAAAGCTTTCCAGTCAAAATGTACTGTTTTGTAAAGATTTACTTCCCTTCAGCCTCTAAATATTACCCCTCTGTACATAAAAATATTTTACCACGCTGGACCAATTTTTTATTTGTCAATCATTTAGAAGTTTTTATTCGTTTTTACAGTGGATTCGCTAGTTTTTATTAGTGATTGCATTTTTAATGCTTAGCTTAGTTATTAGTTCTAGTATTAGGGTTTTTTTAACCATTTAAATAAACATATTTGCCAATGCATCCTCAAGCTTGTGACTTCGAATTAACTAACCAGCAGCTATTTGGTCTCCAGCGAAAGCAGCCAATTATAGCAACACCTTCCTAAAATAACTGCGTAACTCAATTTTGCCAACTAAGGACTTGGGCGATTATTTTAGTACAATAATAGCTGTCTCCAACCCGGTGCTACCTGTTTGTTTTTCCACGGGAGCTACTGAGAGAAGGTAGCGTGTCAAGATAGTCATAGTTGTCTTGTGTGAGCTTGATTCATGCAGTTTTTCCCTTGAGAAGTATTCCACCTCTTTTATCACTTATTTCCACTACAAGACACTTGCTTTTATTTTTCTCGCAGTCGTATTCAAAGAAATCCCAAAAAAGGACGTTGCCGCTTTCTCCCAACTTTTGTTGTCGTCATTTGGCAGACGATGCTGAGCAGCAGCAGACCGTAAACAAGTGTTACGGACTATGAGGCGCCGTAAGCCGCCCACAGCTAATGTGAAACGAATCAATTTGAAAATAAATAATGATTTGTTTAATCAGTTCACACAGCTCAAAATAAATTGACAAACACTAAAACTAAGGATATCATATCTATAATTTTAGTTAGTTTTGTAAAAAGATAATAATGATAATGATGATGACGATAATGATGACAATAATAATAATGATAACAATAATAATGATGATGACAATAACAATAATAATGATGATGACAATAACAATAATAATGACGATAATAATAATAATGACAATAATAATAATAATAAGAAGAAGAACAACAACAACAACAATTATTTAATTTGTAACACACTTTTCATTAACAAAAATCCCAAAGTGCTACAAACATCAAGTGGCTATATATATAAAAAATAAAATAAAATAAAAGACTTCCAAGCTCTGTTAAAAGTTATACAGTTTTAGTTAGTTATCGTTTTTTTTCATCTTATTACAGTTTTTATTTATTTTAGTTAACTAAAATGTTTTTTTTCAACTTCAGTTTTTGTTATTTAGTTAGTTTTAGTTAACTATAATAACCCTGCTTTCAACCTGAGGTAACTATCACAGAGTCAAGAGAGCAAAGCTTAAATCTTGCCTGTTTGGTGAGGACATAATAGGCGAAGGCTCCCATGCTGGTAGCGTACGTGATGAAGTAGGTGACGGGCTCCATGACGTCCCACGAATACACCCACCAGGTGAGCCAGGCCAGGGCGCCACCCTGCACCGACAGCAGGGCCACGCCGGTCCACAGAACCCTGGAGGTGTGAAACTCAGCTGTTCGGGACAGCTGCGCCTTCGCCTGAAAGAGACGCACAGCGAGGCGGTAAAAGCCTAAATTTCTTTTCGGCGCGCGTACAAGTGCTCGGCTAAACCTACGACCTTTTCGAGAGGCGACAGCTCCTGTTTGAGGTCGTCCAGTTTCTCCAGCAGCTGCCTCTCCTTCAGCAGATGGTGCTCAGGCTGGTGGAGCGCCGTGTGCAGCAGGTGCACCACGTGTTTCATATCATCCAGCTCTTTGGCATGCTCGCTGGACGGACACACGGCTACAGAGGACACGGCAAGGTGGAGAAAGATGAAGATAGCAAACATTAAAGTTCCTGTGACATGTATATACTTCAAATACAAAAAGTCAAAGAAAGCATCTTTATACTTAAGAAAATTGCTCTAATACACATGATTTTACCCATTTTGTCACATAATTGGCCTATTTTCTTTTGAATTTGTCTCAGCCAAAGTAAGACAGGAAGTGACATCAAAGGGGAACTCATTACAAAAATGAAATATTTGGTCTTTGTGTATTAAAACAATATCATTTAAATTTTAACTCTTCTTCATCTCTCTTTGATCGTGACTCAAAGTAATGTAAAAAAATCAGATTCTTCTCTGCAGTCTGTGTTGTTAGCCATTGTAGCAATGCTCTGTTTACATGCAGACGTTCCCCTTTGACATCACTTCCTGTTACGTCACATGCAGATATCTCAACAACTGTTCACCTCAGCAGCGTGACATTTGTTTTGCAATGTGTTATCAATGTTATCTTTACAAAAATGCATTCCTATTTATCTAAAAAAAAAATTGGATGTCACAGGCACTTCAACCAGAAGGCCTACATGTAACAAAGCAGCAGAGTAATGTGTCGTACTCTTTTCAGGAGCTCGGACGTCATAAACGGCGTTGTTAATGACGAGCTGGAAGTCCTTGCCCAGCAGGCTGTCGATGAGTGTGCTGCCGGCAACGCGGTCTCCATCTGTTCATAAAAACACACGTTTTCATTACTGACTTGCATTTCTTTACAGCTGTAGTTCAAATCCACTCAGCGCATGATAAACCTTTCTCCACATTGTATTTGGTTTGTTCATGTGGGCAGCTTCAAAGTTCAGTCATGCTTCAAGGTGTGGCTTCTGTCTCGGTCCGCACCCTCTTTGTCTATAAAGACAAAACTAGGTTTCTCTGTGGACAGAGACTATTGGGTTTCAGCAGTTTTCAGTTCATGGAAAGCCTGAGCTCTGGTGGTGATTTTGTTAAATGCCTCTCAGTCGGAAATAGGTTGTGTGTCTAATGATGGAATTTGGTGTGAAATTCAACATGTTTTTTCAGCAGCACTTGTTGTGCAGTTTGATGCATTTTGTACCCATAAGGATACAACAACATACAAGTTACATACAACTTAAAAGCCTTTAAAACTGGGAAATATAATATAGAATATAAACTGGGTTTTGAGAAGTTTTCATGTTGAATTTGTTCAATTTATGATTTGTGCAACCAGAGGTTTAGTGGTAAAAATAGTCTCGGTCACAAGCTTGATTTTTTTTAATCTGAGCAAACGATCTGAATAGAAAGCCTTCATTTCATAACCTTCAGGCTGTTTAAAAACTTGCAGGATGTTTCCCCAATTTCGCTGCAGACACGAAAGTAAGAAACTAGTCTGTAACGGTTAAAATGGTGACAGACAACCCAGACCAAGTCCGCCTGCGGCGTTTCATCAAACCCGGTGCTTTAAACGAGACACGAGCAGGCTTGTACCTTTAGAAAAAACAGATGCATCAGCTCCACTGTCCTCCCTCTTCAGCTCAGCGATCAGGTCTCCCACAGTCATCATCATGGGTCTGAGAAAGAACAGGCACTTCTCGTTCCTGGAGGGCAGCGGCACCTCGAGAACCAGGCGGCCATTTTTGTACTTCAACGAGACGTCTGCAACACAGCGAGTGGTGGGTCTGCAGTTTGCAGAGACTCTGAACCAAACTCGTATTTAGCGGGAGAAATGTAACCACACACGTAGTGACGGCCTCTTACCACCAGATGGGGCTGATGTGCTGTAGAAACAAGCTTGGCAATTTCTGAGCCGTGAATGCCTCAGATTAACCTGAGAAAGAGAAAGACAATAAATAAATAAATGGAGTTTACACAATTTGTTCTTTGTGTTATCAAACACACCACTCCCTTAGAAAGCAATCTTATCACAGGATATCAGCAAGTAAACATCAACCTGAAAACAGCGACAGTCTGTCAATAAACCATTTCAGCTGAGTTTCCTGCTTGTTTTTTCCTCCTTTACTGTGAAATCGGAGCAGTTAGTAATACCGATGATTCTCATTTAAAAGGCGCTCCTGTTCGCCGATGCATTACCCTTTCATTAGTTTCAGGTGCCTGAACTGAATGCTTGATAAAACACCCGTGTGTTTCTCAACCAAAGGCCGCCCTACAAATCCTTTAGTGTCTCCTACACTCCTGATAACAGACAGGGCATCGATAAGAAGGGAGTACTTCCATGTATACGTCCTGTGAGTTGCTATTCAGTGTGTGTAGTCATTGCAGTTAAAATGCAAACTCATTTCTTTACCCCACTGAGTTCTGCTTTAGGAGTCCAACTTCTGTGTCGAGTCCCAAACACGTGACTGCACTCAGAAAAGTCACCTCTTGTCATTAAACCTGTGAAGTCAAGCTAGCACAAACACGTCCAATGAAATAACACCTTGAATGATGAACAAACATCTCTCACCACCTGCCAGGCAAAGGTTTTACACAAAGATTTGTAATCGTATGTTTGAGGACGACTGCCTACAACATGTTTTAGCCTTAAATCAAAAACCGACAGAGTTGTATGTGTTTGCTATGGTCTGCGGTGGCCATCTTGAAGCAGTTAATGAGTTGTAGGGATTCATTCATTCATGAAAACTCTGCCACTACTTTGATATTTTACTAACAAACGTACACCTTGGTGGTGATACTGCGTAATAAAATCACAAAGCAAAAAAACAAATCCCTGTATCTCATGGCTGAAAGTAATTGGTTGCTCCAATTTATTCAAAGTTACATTGAAGTTGGCCTTCACTGTGTGTCTTCAGTCAGAAACCCCATATCCAATTGACAGTCAGTGATAAGGGTTGACTTTATCGCCCATCCTTTACCAGCTCAGAGTTTCTTCAATCAATATTACATTAAAGAGGACCGAGGGAGCTGTCCGTGTCATTTCATAGGTGGAGGAAAGAAACAAAGCTTGAAGCAAAGTAATAAGAGCGTGGGCCAGTTAAAGCTGTCTTCCGGGGTGTTAACAAGAAAGCAGCTCAGGGGCTTTAACAATAAAACTGTAAGCTGAAACAACCATCCTAAAAACACTGCCAAGGTTGGAACTAGAAGTCAGAACTAAAAGAAATCATATAAATAAAAACATATTTATCAGGCACTATAAAAGGTGTTAAGCTTGATAAAATGGTGGTTCCAACATTTTATTTATGTATTTATTTATCCTAGTGGGGTTGAGCGGAGCCCTGTGACGGACTTGCGACCTGTCCAGGATGTACCCCGACCCTCGCACAACGATTGCTGGATATGGGCACCAGTGATTACCCCCGTCCAGTGGATTGCTGCCGTCTATAAACAACTCCAGTTTTAAAAATCCAATTGCAGTTTTTATATCAACACCACAAATTTGCATGCCGCTGTTAATTTTACATTACACGGGTATTTTATCAGTAACATGATACTACTGCTGGAGGTTCCCCCACGCTTAACCGGAAGTGTCACAGCTAGCTCCTGCTGCAGCTGGCATGTTAAAAAATAAAAACAAAACAAACAAATAAATAAACAAACTCTTTGATTTTTTTTTAAATTGAAGATGTTTAGATGGCTGCCGTGCACTTTGTTCTCGTCTCCACTCAGACTAGCCATTAGCTTGTCACTCTCTAATCTGAGGTCATTTAAGGAGACGTCTGCAACCGTTTGAATATTACCGGTAATTGCCCACAGACTTTCTACAACATAACGTCATTTTAAAAGACTAAAACAATTTCTTTAATTAAGATTTGTATTGATAGAGTTTTATTGGATTTATTAAACTTCTTAAGGTGTTTCAAATAAAGTCTTGAGGTACGTGACAAATTTATTATTCATCATGGCGTGTCCACAGACTGTTTTAAGCAGAGCTAGTAAGACAAAACACTTCTGTGTTTTGTCTTTTACTATTATTCACATATTAAACCCCAGCAACAAGTGTTTTGATTGGTTCCTATGCCTATGACAAACCATATAACTG